AAGACAACTACCTGGCCAACAGTCTGGAAGAGATCCATATTTGTGTCCATTCCAAAGAGGTGATGCAGTGGGATGTGAGTAAAGTTTTACTAAAGATAATACAAGAACAGCTTGAACCATACATTGACAGAGAACTGCCATAAGTTCAAGGCAGATTCAAAAGAAGATGTGAACAAGGGATACCATTGCTGACGTCAGAAGGATCTTGGCTGAAAGCAGAGAATATCAGGAAGATGTTTACTGTGTTTTATTGACTACGCAAAGGCTTTTGATTATGTGGATCATGACAAGCTATGGACAACATTGTGAAAAATGAGTATTCCAGAACACTTAATGTGTGCTCATGAGGAACCTGTACATAGTCCAAGAGGCAGTTGTTCGAACAGAATAAGGAAACACCGAATGGTTTAAAATAAGCAGAGATGTGCACCATGGTTGTATTCTTTCACCATACTTATTCAATCTGTGTGCTGAGCACATAATCCAAGAAGCTGGGTTATAGGAAGAAAAAAGTGGCATTAGGGTTAGAGGAAGACTCATTAACTACCTGCGATATGCAGATGGTACAACCTTACTTGCTGAAAGTGAAGAGGACTTAAAATACTCAAAGATCACATCCTTCAGTATGGATTGCATCTCAATATAAAGAAAACAAAAATCCTCACCACTGGACCAGTAAACAACATCCATGTAAGTGAAGAAAAGATTGAAGTTGTCAAAGACTTCATTTTCCTGAGATTAACTATCAACACTCATGGAAGCAGCAGTCAAGAAAACAAATGATGTATTGCATTAGGCAAATCTGCTGTACAAGATCTCTTTAAAGTATTGAGCAAAGGTGTCAGTTTGAGGACTAAGGTGTACCCAACCCAAGCCATGGTATTTTCAGTAACCTCATATGCATGTGAAAGTTGGACAGTGAATAAGGAAGACTGTAGAAGAATTGATGCTTTTGAGTTATGGTGTTGGAGGAGAATATTGAAAGTTGTACCATGGACCAAAAGAACAAACCAATCTGTGTTGGAAGAAGTACAGCCAGAGTACTCCTTGGAGACCAGGATGACCAGCCACACTTCATCTCTATACTTCGCACATATTGTCAGGAGGGATCAGTCCTTGGAGAAGGATATCAATTTTGGCAAAATGGAGGGTCGGAAAAAGAGGAAGACCCCCAGCTAGATGGATTAGCACAGTGGCGGCAGCAGCAATGTACTCAAACGTAGTAATGATTGTGAGGTTGGCACAGGACTGGGCATTGTTTTGTTCTATTGTGCCTAGGGTCGCTATGAGTTGGTACCTACTCAGTAGTGTCTGAAAACAACTTTCATTGTTTTAAAATGATAATTTGATAGCAGGTCTTAGGTTTCAAAGGCCCTGACTGATGCAAACAGTTTGCACTGGGCTACTAACCTCAAAGTTCACAGTTCAAACCCACCTAGCGACACCATGAAAGAAGGGCCCAAAGAACTGCTTCCATAAATATGACAGCTAAGAAAACCCTATGGAGCAGTTCTACTCTGTAACACATGGGGTCACCTTTAGTCAGGATCAATGTGACAAAGATGGGTTTATGGTTGTTTTTATTTTCTTTGGGTTTAAGTCCTCAGCTATCTTGGTAAATGCTGTTCTCTTTTCTTTCAGATGTTGGATGTGCTGGACTTGTGTGTGGTGGTTCTGCAGTCCCACAAGAACCAGCTTCTTCCCTTGGCTCATCGGGTCTGGCCCTCGCTTGTTCACCGCCTCACGAATGATGACCCCCTGGCAGTTCTCAGAGCCTTCAAGGTACTGAGCAGAGCCCCACCAGCTGCCCATCATGAGCATCATAAGCACAGAGCCCACCAGCTTCTTTTGGGTCTGGTTCATTTCATATGTGAGTGCTTTGTCATCATATACCTTGTAGAACATGTAGAAGAATAAAAAGCACAAAGAAGAAACCGGAAGTCCACTTCCTTCTGATTTTGAGGCAGGGTAAACTAATAGATGGAAAGGGGCACCAATATTTATTGAGCATGGCCACACAGGTGAGCTTATCTTCTCCTCCCAACACACTTGCTAGGTAGGTTTTATTAGGCCCATTTCGAGCAGAGGTGGAAACAAACTCCAAGAAGTTAAGGAATTTTTTCAGGGTCAAACAGCTAGCAAATAATTGAGCTCAAGTCTGTGAGTTCACTCCTACGTTCTTTGCCTCACAAGAGTTGAGTGAAGGTATCTAGGTCCTAGTGGTGGGCATCTTCTTCCCAGTCAGGTGACTTTGGGCAAAGTCAATGAATGCCCATTTTCAAATCAGGTGTAAGGCATGCTTATCCTGTCTTTCTTCTCGAGTAATTGTTTAGTGCCACTGGGTCGATTCCTACTCTTAGCAATGCTGTATAGGGTTACCAAGAATCAGCTGGTGGCTGTGAACCACCGACCTTGTTGTTTGCAATCCAGTGTTTATCCTACACTGCCACACCAGGACTCCTTCTCACAGTTTCATAGTCCACGATAAAATGGGACCATTTGGTGAAATGCTTATCCCTGACTTAGTTTGGCATATATCAACACAGTTATCTTTGTTTATTTATTGATAGCCTCCCTTGTTCAAAAAGCACTTACAGCTTCCTACAGAGATACATTTAGCATGGCAAGCTAACATAAATTAGAAGTGAGCAAGAGGAAGCAAAGAGAAAAGATGTGTAAAGACATGAAACTGGAGATGTGATAATCTATATGGCAAAAGTATGCTGTACAAAAGAAGTCTGTAAGTGCCTTCAGAATGTGAAAGTTGGACAGTGAATAAGGAAGACTGTAGAAGAATTGATGTACCATGGACCAAAAGAACAAACCAATCTGTGTTGGAAGAAGTACAGCCAGAGTACTCCTTGGAGACCAGGATGACCAGCCACACTTCATCTCTATACTTCGCACATATTGTCAGGAGGGATCAAATACATGTTTACACTGAAAACTCTTCAAATTCATGTTTTCCAAAATGACGCACACATGCATGCGTATACACACAGACAAAAGTGTCCTTGTGCGTGTGTACGTGCTAGGGATGGCACGTGGCAGTGGGGCAGGAAAGGACTGCTAACTCTGACTTAAAGGAGCTTCTTTTCCTTTATGGAAATTAATAGGTGATCTGAAATGACAGCAGGCATAAGAAATGGAAAAAGATCAAGATGCAGGTGCTATAACCAAGGCTGCTTTTTCCACTCCAGACATGTTGATGACACCTGAGGTCCGTGCCACCTGGTGCAGTCCAGCCAAGAGACCCAAAATCAGTACCTTGTTCTCCGCAGACTCAGCCAACACTGTGTGCTGGTTTTGCCTTGCTTACCAATTTTTGAAGAAATTCCCATTATCCTGTATACTCAGTCTTGTGTAACAGGGCAAAGCAGTTCAATATGTTCTGCTAGAGAAAGTTTGAAACAAGAGGCATGTAAAGAAACTGCCAGTTGTGAGAGATGGAATGGGGATGATGTGCAGTTGAACAGAAAGAATGCTGGGTCGGCTGCCACCCCTGGGCACCAGGCCTTTGCTCGGTCAAGGGCCCTCAGCCCACTCACTGATCCCCTGATGCCCGAGTATGGCAGCAGCTGTACCTCAGTGTCTGTCTTTGCTCAGCTAGCCAGTGTTAAAAGCACGAGTCTTTTCTCAAGGGATGTTAGGAAGATTCAAGAGATGATCTATGTGAACTGCTTTAAGCTCTTTTTTTCCTTCCAACAAAAAAAGGGAAGAAAATCAAGGTATTAATCATATTATTCATCCAACCCAAGATTCTTTTGAATTATTCTTTGTGTAATCTGTATTTATGGATAGAAGCAGCCATGCCTTGGGAGCAGAGACCTCCAAATTCATAACTGTCAAAATCACAAACCATGGGCAAGGAATTAACAGCAGTAATTCTATTTTTTTTTTTCTCTCCCCAAGCTTAGACCTAGATGAAATTGAATTACCAAGCATTCTTTCACTCTCTCGCTGCCTTGGCGATGTTCAGTCACCAGGTTGGGGGCTGTTTCTGCAGGTTTTGCGTACCCTGGGAGGCAAGTGTGGCGATTTTCTAAGAAGCAGGTTCTGCAAAGATGTCCTGCCAAAGCTGGCTGGCTCCTTAGTCACCCAGGCTCCCATCAGTGCCAGGGCTGGACCTGTTTATTCCCACATGCTGGCCTTCAAGTTGCAGCTGGCTGTCTTGCAGGGCCTGGGCCCCCTCTGTGAGAGCCTGGAACTAGGTAGGTACCATCCAGGCTCCCCTGAACCCACAAACCCTGCCAGTCTTACCCCTGCTATTGCACTCCCTGCTCAGCCCTGCCCCCCGCCCCTTCACCTCCCTTCGCATGCACAGCCTCCAGTCTTTCCTTGGCCTCGCTGACCCAGTTATTTATCTAGATAGGCTTTTTGACTCTGAGACCTGGGGTAGAGAGCTTAGGTCCTTGTGCATAGCTGTTCCAGCCTCACCAAAAAGCAGTAGGTTACTGCTTATCCCAAATGAAGTCTGAAGGTGGAGACTTGTTTTGTTTTTCCTCTCCGTAGGTGAGGGTGACCTGAATAAAGTGGCCGATGCCTGCTTGATTTACCTCAGCGCCAAACAGCCCGTGAAATTACAAGAGGCTGCCAGGAGGTAAGACTGCTTGATCGCCCGCATCCCTTTGCATTTGTTCTAAATTATAGATGATTTGCTAATGGAGAGCAGAGTTGAGGCATCTCGCTCTCTTTTCTCTTCTCTCTCTTCTTGCCAGGTTAAGATGATTTCTTTTACTGTGCCAACTTTAGAGATGGTTTTTTTTTTTACTAGATGCATCTCTCTTTGCAAGTAACCTTTTCCTCTTCTGCAATGTCAGCAACAATTCGAAAGGGGCAAAATGCTGAAAGTCAGTATGCTGGGTGGAGCAGGCAAGGTGCTCGTCTGCTTCTCTGGTGACTGAATGGCTAAGCTCTCAAGCCTTGAGTTAGATCTGGCCTACCTGGACTGGGAGGAGTTCCCAGATGGGCGGGCCGGGGCTGTGAACCCTTAAAATGATATGCCAAGTTGGGTGTGTGTGTCTGCAGCCCCATCCAGGCGTTTTTCTAGCTGAGTTCACAGCAACCATCTATTTCTAATTGGAGTCTGTGACCCAGAGAATGTAAAGAACCACTCAATTAATGGTTCCAAGGGCTTTTGCTGGCTCTAAAATTACACAGTTCTAATTTCCAAGAATATTGACTGTGCTGCACCACCTCTAATGGAAGAAGCTTACATGGTTTCTGGATCCTTAAACCTGAAGAAATTCTTCTCAGAAGTGGAAACTCTGAGCATAGCAGCATTCCCCAAACTTGAGACCTCAAGTGCACTCTGGTCCCCTGCACCCCAGCTCTGTCCTCAGAAGGGCTGCCTGACTCTGTACCCTGCTGGCCCCAAGCTCCCCCTTCCACAGAAGAGGTTTTTCTGGCTGTGAAATGAGGAACCCTGATAACTCCCTTGTAAACCTGCACTCCCCGCGTGCCCTGGGAGTGATGGGAATATCTTTTTGAATTGATTTATTGTCCTTTGTAATTTTTTACTCTTGATTTCCCCAGCTCCCTTTTTTCTTTCTGTCCCTTTTGCCGTCACATCTCCTAGGCCTAGAATCAGTCAGAGGTTTCTCAAGCACAAGGGCACATCCCAACAAGCTTCTTGTTCCCAGGCATTCTCATTACTTGAAGAACCAACTTAGGCTGAAAATCACCCTTCCCCAGGAGATGCCCCTAAAGCAGCTTAAAGCATAACTCAAGAACATAAAGATGCATCTTGAAGAAAAATCTCTGAGTGCCCTGTACATACCATTTTACAAAGACTCAACTGTCCCTGTCCCTGTCCCATAGTATTTTTCCTGCCCCTGCCCTACACTCCTACAGGGTCACTATGGGTCGGAATCGACTCAACAGTACTTACATCCCCACACCCATCCCACCCAGTTGCTAAAATTCACTATTCCTTTTCTTTTCTTTTCTTTTCTCTTTTTTGATGCTGAAAGCAGTTAAACCGAGTTAGGCCTGGCCAGTTCTTGAGTTGGTATTCTAGGCGCCTCTGGAGGAGGAAAATGCAGCTAGCCCACTTGACTGCAGAGCCTTTGTTTGTTCTCCCGCATTCCATTCAGGGTTGAGTCAGATGACCTCTCTTGGGAAGACCTGGGGTGGGGGGGCACGCGCTGGGAGGAGGCAGTGCAAGGTTGATTGCTTCACCTCCACATCTTTCGCAAACTTATTTTGAAGTCGGGAAAGCAGCAGTGCTGTCCTTGATCAGTAGCTGATTTGGCATCTCGATGCAGAAATGAATAAACTTGCTAAATGGGAGAGTCTGAAACCACGGGAAACCTGGTCTCTGTGAGCCTCTTTACGGTGCAAAGAAAAGGAGATGAGTGGACCTATTCAAAATGAAGAGTTCCTACTGCTGGCACGAGGGAGTCTCTAGTCTACTGTCTGTCTGCTTGTGCATCCTAAATTCTTCTCTTTCTTTCATATACCACTTCCATTCTAGAAGTTAAGCATGCCTACTTAACTTCCAAAATCTCTCAAGACTACCCACTCCTTTTCACCTCCAAGCACCAGTCTAGGCCATGCCACATCCTCTCTTCCCTAAACATCTCCCAAATATCCTGTGCCCATTCCTGCCCCTCCTCTGTCTTCTGCACTGCAGACAGGGAGACCCCACCACACACACCCATGGAAGAAGAGAAAGCTGCTATGTTCCCTGTAAGGGCCCAAGGGGCGCCCTGTTGCCAGAGGCTTACCAGAAGTCAAGCCCTGCTGCTCAGAAAAGGAGCCTGAGGTCCTGCTTGTTTAGGAATGGGCCCTTCTGTCTTTGGGGGACTAGTAGGAAATCCTGTGAGGCAGGTGACTGCTTGGAGGCCTCGGGCATTCTGAAGGGAGTGGAGACTGAGCCAGTGACCCATGTTATCTTTGGATCTGTCAGATGGGGGGTGGACATCAAGACAGCTTCATAAAAGTCCCTCCTCACAAGCTTTATGGTTGGGGGTTTTTTTTCTTCTTCCTGTTGGCTTTTCCAGGCTCCAGCCTGTTTGCTTTTTTTAATTTGTCGTATTAAATACAGCCTTTGTGGCAGGCTTTTACATCCAGGCTGTAAACTCTAGAAATGGAAATTGATCAGGGGGTGGTTGATATTACTAAGGCTGTAAATGCTAAGAACGGAGATGCCATTCCCGTTTAATGCTTTTATCCAGCAAATGTGCCTTGTAAGGAGGGGAGCATAAATCTTGCAACTTGGACAAGGGGTGCAGGAGGGGGCAGGGGCAAGGTATAACCTTGCTGTGTGTTACCACCAGGTGTCACTGTAAACTGGCCACATAAGAAAAATACCAGTTCCCCCAAAATATTTCTAGTTAAACCACTTCAGTGCTAACAAATGAGAAAATCCTATTTGAGGTGTGGAAGAAAGGGTCAGCATACCTTGAGCTGTAAATAAGGCAGTATCCCTGACGGTAAGCACTAGACTATAAAATAACAGGTCCTAGAAGCTAAGCCCTCATCTCAACCCATTGCAAAGACAAACTTCACTGATTAAAATTCCCTGGTGAAACTCCCAGATCTCTCCCAACATGTACTGGGCCTCCATGGTGCCTCTGGGCCTCTCTGGCCAAGGAGCTCTTCCTCCCAGACATGAAAGGAATTTTAGATAAGAGTACTCTCCAAATTCCTGTGTTTTTGCTTCAAGCCAGTACACACAACCTAGTTAAAGTTAACTTGGTTACAGCCACCGTCCTTGAGCTGGTCTTTTAACCTCTGAGACTCTTTTGCAGTGAGGCCTGAAATCGCCAATAAACCTCTCTACCCTAGGGCTAAAAGGAACCAAAACTAAACAGTACATATTTTCAAAAAGATGAGGTCCATGACCAACAAGTCTCACGATAGAGGATAGAGTAACAACGCTGGTAGGCTACTTGATCTCCACCCGAGTCCCACCCTTTCCTGCCAACCCCAGAGCCCTGCAGAGCAGCAGCAGGTAGTGACCAGCTGGTGCACCTTCTGGTTGTGTAGGTAGTAGATGTTGTTACTGCTATAGTCTTTGCTGTGTGTGCAGTTACTTTGCCCCCTCAGCTTCATCTGCCTGTGTATGAGGACAAATGTACAGTACTGGTCTTGGAGTTGGATTACCCAGGGTTCAGAACGTACTAGCTGTGTGACCTCAAGCAGATAACTTAGTCTCCTCGCACTTCATTTCTGCCCTTTGTAAATGAAAGTGGTGATATCCTCACAGGGTTGTTGTGTGGGTGAACTATATTGATTTGTGCATCGAGTCCACCAAGGTTTCAGTCAGTCTTTGGATCAGTTGAGCACCTGCTATAGAGGGGAAATGACAGAGGCCATCTCGGGCTTCTTGGTGCTTGCTATTCCAGAGGTATCTGATATATTTGTGTGTGTGTGTGTGTGTGTGATGTGAGATACACATAAATCTACAAGTATATGATGTAGTATGCACACGAGGAGTAGGTTCAGAAAGTTCATGGGAAACTTCATTATCTTTTCACTCGATCTTTCCATGAACTTTCTGATGAAATCAACCCCCCCCACACACACACACTCCATATGATGTACAATGTATACTTGGATATATTGGAACAACAACAAAACAACACCTTCTACATATATGGGAGTATATATGTATGATTCCCCCTAAAACGCTTTGTGATGTTAATCATCTCTGCATGGGTAAGCAAGCAAGTGGGTGCTCTCATATAATCACAACATTTGAGTTCCCCACAATAGCAACAGGAAAAAAAAATCTCTGTGTAAATGGGCCTGTGCAGTTCAAACCCAAATTGTTCAATGGTCAACTGTAAATTATGCATGGATTTTCAACTGAGTGGGAGTTGGGCGCTCCGAACCCCAAGTTGTTCAAGGGTTAACTGGAGTTTATAGCTGTATGTGTTTCTTGTTGTCAGCCTGCTTTGTTGTCAATACTGAGATCCAGATGGGTTTTCACACAAAGGGATCTTTTTCACAGTAATTGTGCCACGCCACCCCCATCCTGGTCTGCTGCAGAAGCAAAGACCAGCTTTGAAGGTTCATTTGCTGACTGACTTCCCTGCTCTCTTTCTAGCAGTAGGATCCTAGCCCATCAAAGAGCCAACCGGTGCCTTCAAACTCAGGGTGAACATAGACTGGCACTGGTTCCTCCATTTCATCCCCGTCAGAGCCCCAGCTCCTTTCTTTTACCCACACATGGGCCTGTTAAATTTGAATGACTCAGGAGCCACAGAGATGATCCCATAGTTCAACTGAGCTTGAAATTAGTAGTTCATCCCCTCAAATGGTGCAGGCCACTTACTGGAGCTTGGGCTGCAAAACTCTTTCTCCCCTGGACTGTACACAGCATGGAAATGAGAACACTCCTAATATTTCTCCTTTTGACACTGATTAATACTTGACAAATCCAGACCCAAGTAGTTAGCTTTCCTATTATCCATCTTTTGACAGGCATTGCTGCTTTTATTTTCAAGGCCCATTGTTCTAAAAATACACTCCAATCTGAAGCTGTTCACTGTGCATATATAGGCATGATTTCATGGTGTCAAAGATAAGAGACATCTGTCATATAGATTACAGACAAAGTAGGCCGCCGGGTTTCAGATCTGAAGGTGGGGA